ATTATTCAATTTTCATTTCTATTTTGCATTAAAATTAATTGTTCAATTCAATTTGTTATTAGTGTGTGTGTAAGGAACGTACAGGTTAGTGGATTAATTATTATTTTGTTTTTGAGAGTTCAATTTATGCAAGTTCCTATTATTTTGTTCATTTTTATGCATTTTTGTTTGTTTATAACATTTTTTATAACATGTGCATTGTTTATGTATTTAACCAAAATCGTTTCATACTGTAAACAACACAGATAAAGAAGTAAATTAAAACCTAAGAAATTATGTGCTGTCTTTTGTGCTGAGATTTTGATTTTTGGATTCCGAGCGTGCATTAGACCTTTGTTGAATTTACTAACATTTTCCTACCCTGACGAGAGAATATCCTAGCAAATTGAGAAAAATCAATCTAGAGATATTGGCTCAAAAACAACTATAGCCGTGAGATTTCCGTAACAAGGGACCTCGGTACCCGCCACAGATGGGCTAACTAACCAAAAACTCTTCAGTTTTGATTACAGGTGGTATTGATTGAATGTAGTGTGTGTAATTGAAATTTTAGCACAAGAACAGGGGCGGTTCCTAATTTGAACTTTTATTGACCTAAATTATTGAATTAATGACTCACAATGATTATTTACCTAAAATGACAGTATGTTTCGATTTTTGGGGAATCGAGGTTTTCTCTTCCGTTCTCTTTTCCCTCGTTAATTCCAGGTCGAGAACGGTACGTTTTTCTTTGAAAATAAAGGAGGCGTTTCTTTTACATATTACAGCTTCCCTTAAATTTCCCAAATATTTGCTATGTCGGGCGCATGTCCAGTAAGTAAATTGAGTAAGTTTCCAGAACGTAGGTCCTATTTGTTTTTCATTTCATTTTCAGAATATTTGTTGTTTAAAAGGTAATTAAAATTCTCATCGTTCAATCTTACTGAACGAACCTGGGTATGTTATACTACACAAGATTCTCAAATTAATAGTCGGAATTTTTCAAGAGGTTTTCAACCCCACTAATCAAGTTATTTTCGACCAGATCCCAATGCAGGTCCTTCAAAATACACCCTGAGGAAATAAACGGAATTCAATTACAAGAACCAGACAAAATTTCTGAGAATTATGAAAGTTCAGAATTCGGAGAAATATCTGACAACTCAGAAATAAATGACGATCAAATAAGTCAAGATTACCAAGAAAGCCCTGATGAAAACTTTCAGACACTAGCCTTGGAATCCAACAATCAGCATTAACTTTAAATGCATACCAAGTCAAACATTTCCTTGAAACTTTTGATCCACCTTGTAAGCTTTTAATAGACACAGGTAGTTATGCTTCACTAATAAGACCTTCAATAGCGGAAACTCTCTAAATAAACTTACTACATGTATGGGAACTAGAAAAGCTCATGGTAAAGTGAGAATTCCAATTTTACATGAATTTAATATAGATCAAAATATTGATATGATATTGTATAATTTTCACGATTATTTTGATGGTATTGTCAAGCCACCCTTTACAAGATTATTATTTCAATACGAAATAACCAAAGTTCATTGACAAGTAATGTCCCAATTTAGTTGGGCAATACGGATGTTGTATTGAATAAAGCAAACGCATCAAAATGTTAGCAAAAAGCACAGAGCCAACGACCCAGGTTTTAGGTCAACGATTTTTTTGCTGACATTTCTGAATCGATTTGGATCGATAAGGCGTCAATTTTAAGGCAGTTGTAAATCTAAATTCGGGCGCTAAAGTTGTGCTACGGGCCACAGAAAGATGGGTCTCTGGTAAGTACAATTATTTAACATTTATAAGATATCTTAGTGTCGGTGAATCAATCCTTTAGTTGTAGTGAATAAACTTAATTATCCCTAATGCTTTGGGACTTGTTTTAATTTATTAAAACCTCAAAAGATCCCAAACCCCCAGTCACAGCAAAATAGGCTCGTGACAGTGTTATAGGAATTAAAGCTTTACGAGAAAATAATTTAAATATTGACTTTACTGATATAATGATATGTGCCTTAGTAATGAAGAAATAACAATTCCATTTCAATTTAGAACAGACTTTGATACCCAAAATTTAGAAATTTCAGCAAAAACTATTCAACTTTGTCATTTTAATACAGACATCGTTGAAAATACTGAGATTCCAATACCTCAAGTAAAAACAGAGAAATACCAGAAACAATAGCTAAGGTTACAAATGGAACAGCATTGTTAGAAGTGCATAACCTAACAGATAAACCTTTTGTTCTTACTATGCATAAAGATGACCTAGCAGAAGCAAGTTTTATTTATTATGAAGATGCTTTTGAGACATTTAATATAGAACAAGTAACGTCATTATACCCACATGAATATGATCATAATCCAATAGAATTTTTACGTATTCAGCATTTAAATAAAGAGGAATTAAATGCATTACAGAATGTAGTATTCAGGCGTTTCCGAAGATTTTTCATAAACCCGATGATAACTTTCACGAATCAGGTTAAACATGAAATCAGAACGTCAGATGAAATGCCCGTCCATACAAAAACCCTTAGGTATCCTCATATTGTTCGTAGATTTTTAACTGACACTTGCGGTATGAGGAGCGAGGGGGTGTTTCATATGGCAAAAATCGGTGTGATGTCAGGTAACCATTGGCGTTCTAATGTAGAGAGCCACCAGCTCACATTCCGTCCGAGTATCAGATTAAAATCGACGGACAATATACATAGAAACGAGGTTAACCAGCAAATAAAAAAAATGTTAGAAGAACATATAATTCAACCAACATGGTCCTCACCAGTACGGATAGTGCCGAAAAAGAAAGATGCTTCTGGCATACAGAAATGGAGAATGGTGGTGGATTATCGCAAAGTCAACGAGAAAACTATCGACAATAGGTACCCAATACCTAACATTTCAGATTTATTGGATAAATTGGGAGGAAGCAATTATTTCACAACATTGGATCTCGCATCTGGATTCCATCAAGTAGAGATGCATCCAAACTCTATACCTTAGACGGCATTTAATGTTGAATATGGACACATTCGGACTCAAAAATGCACCAGCAACCTTTCAACGAGCCATGGATAATGTGTTATCTGGATTGCAAAATAAAATGTCTTGTATTATATATGGATGACATCATCATATTTTCGACTTCACTTCAAGAACATGTGAAAAACCTTAAACAAGTACACACACAGTAGAATTTTTGGGACATGTGATAACGCCAAACTAAAACATCCCATAGAGGAATAACTGAAAACGTAGGTAGCAGCACTAAAGAAAGATGTACAAACATATGTTAAAGCATGTGAAATATGCAATAAGACCGAATATGAACGACAGCCGTATAACATAAGTAATGATCAAAAATTTTCAACGATTATGGACAGTTTTTCAAAATTTGGCCAAGCCCTTCCCATCAATTCCAAAACAGCTGTTGAAATAACGTCACAACTCCTAAAATACTTTAGTGACCACGGAATCCCTCAGAAAATAACTTCAGATAATGGTGCTGAGTTCAAAAACACTATTATAACTGACCTTTGTACACTACATAATATTGAATTTCATTACATAACACCTAGAAATCCTAATTCAAACAGCCAAATCGAGAGATTTCATTCAACTTTACGCGAAAGTTTAACAAGTCTTAAACTTCAAAATCCAACAAAATATGTTATCGATTTAATGGTAATTGCAATTTTAAATTATAATAATAGTACACACAGTACAAGACTCACTAACTACTCTTAATAGAGACATTCAAAATAAATTAACATCAAAACAAACTAAAGTACGCGACAAACGTTATGAGAATCGAGAAATTGAACTCGAATTGCAAAACCCAATTTATGTTAAGCAATTCAATAGAAACAAAACAAATCCACGATACGATAAACAAATACAAAGACATTTTAGTAAACAAAATGTAAAGAGACAATATCCTATTTCAGGTGAAAGACAATGAACGTCCTAACGTCCCTTATGGTAATAGAAATTGCCCACGCCTATACAACGACCTCACTGGAAAACCCAATTTTACCAATTTCTTTAGGTAATACTTATATGACAATACAACATAAAACTGCATTTTATCATATCAATACAACTACCATATTACAAGGAATACATAAATTAGAAACAACATTGAGTTCATTATTCAAATTAACACAAATGTTGAATAAAACAACATGGTCCAGTCTTTTCCAAACAAACATTGAAACAAGTCAATTACAAGTAGACTTATGAAATGAAACAAACGATTAAGACTATTGGTAATAAACGAAGCAGAAGGGGACTTCTAAATTTTATGGGAACAGCTCAGAAATGGCTCTATGGTACTTTGGATGCAGAAGATGGTGCTAGATATGATTCATATCATAGGTTTAAGCATTGTAATCATATTAATTTCAGCATACTATTTTTGTAAAAACAAGAAAACTTCAACAAATGTGAAAATCGAATTGTCAGATTTGGGTCATCAATCAAAACATACTATGGTACGCCTGATATACACAAAAATATAAAAAAGAAAAAATGCCCATCAAACATTCAAGTAACTATGAACAAAATACAAGTGAAAACTTTTCGAAGATAGCAGCAAGTTACTCTAGTTCACCCAATCACATCACATCAAGATGGTAATTGCAATAGTAGATCAATCTTTAGCCTGAATGACGTAGTATCTCAGCCTTTGAAACGCTGAACTGAGGGTAGGCCCTTGATATTATTTGGAGACTGTTAAATACCTGAAAGCCCTTAAGAAACAATAAATTCATTGTACTCTTAAAATTTGTTCTCGGATAAAGAGATGATCATTATTTCTTGTAGGGTACCTAATCATAAACATCCCTATTAGAAACAACAAACTTCAGAATCAGATCAGAGTGTAGATATTCTATCAAAAAATATAAAGTTACATAACGAGTTTCTCTTCACAACATGTCTTATTACATCGTTTAGAACAACCGTATCAAAAATCACTGCTTCAAAGCACTTTTACTTACGATACATTCATTTCTTGTCTCAAAGCAGGATCTTTACTGGGATTTCCTCCTTGGAACAATTCAGGACACATCGTGCGTATGGTAAAGTAATTTTCCAAGCAATTTTTTGCTTGCTCTACACTGTAGAAGCAGGCGTGTAACGCCAGTGCCACTTGTAACTCTGAAAATAGGAAATTAAATAAAATATTTTAATCATAAGTGAAAAATTATACCTGCTACTTGGGGAAAATGCCTTTGCTGTTGGCACCATATCATAAGCACTTCTACATCGTCTTTTTTCAACTTCGGATCTTCCGCGTAAAGTTTATTTACGTCCAAGCATCTATCCATTTTGTTTCAAATTAAGTTAACTGTAGACTGTAATAAGTATGTAATAATAATTGCTGAAAAAAAAAGTGGTAATTTGAATAGAAAAAAAATTAATTATTCCCATTAAAAGCAGTAATTATATAATAATGGCAACTAATACCTACATTAAACTATGTGGCTGCCTGTTACTGCAACTGGTTCCGATAGCTTACAACATTAAATGAAAAACCAACAAAATTGGTGTTTTCAAAAAACCCATAATCCCATTAAACAGGTTTGTTTTATAGGTAGTTATGCGCTTGTTAAAATGCAATTACCATCCAAAACATTGTTCCCTGAGTACAAAACCTATATAATAACCGTTTTTATCAATTAAACTTTGTCCATTTGAGTAATTTTTGTTATGTTATTAGTGTTAAACATAATAATTCAATTTTTGAAAGCACATACCTGTATTAAGTCGAATAAATCTTGTTCTATCTTTCTTCTTAAACCATGTTATTACTAATTTGTTGTTAGTGAAAAAGCTTTAAAATTTTAGGTACTCCTTGAACAGGTTTAGAAATGCGTCATCCCAACTATTTTAATTGAAATAAATGGTTTCATACTGTATTACCATTAAAATTGCATATTTTTAATGAATATGTTAAGGACCGGGTAATTTAATAATTTTATTTTCTACTTTACTATTAAAGATCCATAATACCTAGGAAACGAAATACGTTAACACACCTATAACAACCTGAACCATAACGCCCGCTTATAATACCTTAAGGTGTTTATTTTCTACTTTACTATTATAGATCCATAATACCTAGGAAACGAAATACGTTAACACACCTATAACAACCTGATCCATAACGCCCGCTTGTTCTATTAATTTGCACTTTCCTAGGCAGCCACTAAATGTCTGACCGAAAATAAATTTCGGTCTAGCCAGGATTCGAACCCGGTCTACCATCAACGTTTCCCATGTAGTCCAGCGCGTTAACTCACAGGACCACCACCGTTGCCTTGCCTTATGAGATGTTTATAGATATATTAATTTATTTCGTTTCTATGTACCTACAGGTCGCAGGTACAGGTACAGATCACAGGTACAGGTACATGTCAAAATACGAAACAATATTCTGTCACACAAGTTTGACTGATTTTGTTAATAATAAATTGATGAAAAAACATTGTGTTGAGTAGAAAATAAAGCATTGTATGCACCACGGGGATTTTAAGATTATAATGCCCTTCAGGCGAAATATATCCCTCGGGCCATAGGCCCTCGGGCTAGTTTCGCCTTCGGGCATTATAATCTACATAATCCCCTTGGTACATAAATAGCTATTATTTTCTACTTTACTATTATAGATCCATAATACCTAGGAAACGAAATACGTTAACACACCTATAATAACCTGATCCATAACGCCCGCTTTTGCGGGCGTTATCATCTATAACGCCCATAATCTACATAATCCCCTTGGTACATAAATAGCTATTAAATAAAGTAAGAGAAAATTAATTTTCAAAAACCAATCTTATGTTTAAACCAATCAAATATTGATATGCAGTGGAAAGGATATGAAAACAACAATTGTATTTTAAACTATAAACTTTATTTCTTATAAAATAATAAATCTCCTTACAAATATAATGTTCTCTCAGAAGTTTCATAAACATGTATTTTGTTTAATTACTTTTATGTTTTGGTAACAAAGGCACAACGACTCTATAACGTTTCACCTTAAAGATATGTAAAAAAAACACGGATAGGTAATTTTTCTTAACAAAACCTAACGGGCTACGTATTGAAAAAAAATTAATATATACAAATCAAATCAGCTTCATAATACGTACAAGCTTGTGTAAAAACAACTAAAAAATGAAATGTTTACCAAATAAAATTATATTTTTCGATTCTATACTTTAATGAGGTAAAAGGGTAAGTACTAGTGAGACAGTACACAATAATAACTATTAGATTATTAGCCAGGTGAAACAGTTTTTACTAGCGATTGAAGGAAATTACTATAGAGCTGTTATAGGCGAGCCTGTCAGCTTCAAGAGCCAATAAAAGCCGTTACCTGGCGTATAATATACAATAACTTATTTTTTACTCATTTGTAAAAAAGAAGTATACAGGGTCTTCGATTATATTCAAGCCCATACCTACAGCCTTTACGACTTAAGATAGAAAAAAGTTTATATACAAAACTTGAAAGTTTTATTGTTTATTCTATATTATCTTTTGAAGTTATCAGAAGAAACAAAATCGCATTGCAAAATGGAAAAACGTAGACAACTTCAGTTTTTTTAATGGAACACCCTGTATATTATGCGATAAAATCAGAGATCTTTTCTTCCTGAATCCAAATATATGTATATTAATTTTGATCACATTTAATATACTTTCTGTCTATCTTAAATAATAAAAGCTTTAGGTATGGACTTGAATATAATCAAAGACCCTGTACAAATTAAAATTGATATCTACATAATGAAATTTTAAAATTTATATTTTTTCTCATACTTACAACATAAAACAACATTTTATATACGACTCGGAGTCGTCGACTCTAAATAAAGTAGCCAGAAAATGAAGACTCTTCATTAATTTCTAGGAAACCGATCTTGAAATGCGCTTTTGCGTCTGTCTTACAAGCCACTAAATTCGATTTTGCCCTTAGCAACCAATAATGATAAAAAATCAAAATTTCAAAGTAATTTGCATAATAATTATTATTGATATCCTTCTTGTAAAACAAACAATTCAGGGTAAAAAGGCTAATTTCTGAATTTCGGTAACGCTACCTTCAAACATATTTTAACAAAATTATCTTTCTTATTTTCTCTTGGTAGTAGTAAAAAAAGTCTATATAATTCCTCGGTAGAGAGGGTCATTATACATATACCTAGGTATATAATATACTGTTATAGTCCTAGGTAGAAAATGGATCACTTCTGTGTCAACTATTGATGAAAATAATAAATAAAATAATTTAAATAATTTTTGGCAAACATTGCATTTAACACACAAAAACTACGGACCCCTCTGACCACAAAAATAAACTAAAATTACTCGATTAAAATATTGAAAATTACTTTCTGCCCTCGATTTATAGTGAAACTGCAATTTTTGCTAATATGTAGTCATAAATATTCTTTCTTAGGCGCATTTTTGGTTCAAAATTGCATTAAAATCCCAAAAATGATCTAATTTATCCTGAAAGTGCATCCTTCTGACTTATTGTTTTGAAATGTCAAGAGGAAAATTGCATTTTAATAATGATGAAACCATTACGATCGGAATATCAACTTTTCACGATTAACCGTAATCGCCTATTTTCCTATACGATTTTGCGATTATTATTTGGAAAACGCTTAGCTGCCACTCGGCAGATTTTTAAAAGGAATCGAAGTCCACAAAATTTCAAAATGCCATACTTCCTCAATAATTATTTCAAGTACATATTGATATTGATACATAAATATCAAATAAACTTGTTTTTTTTTTAGTTTTTTTCAGAAATATGTAGTTTCATTTTTATTTGGGTTTTTACTGGAATACCGACTGTGAACCGGTTCACAGTCGATAATCCAGTACAGAGCGAAACGTCAGGCATTAAGAATAAATTCAGACAATAATTGCAGGTTATAAGTCCATCATCGTCTACCTTTAAACTCTCATTAACTCAATTTTTACATAATCATTATGTAACCCTTCAATAACTATTTACCATAAGAATGGCTAAATTTCTTGATTCCATTTTACTCATTCTTATTTCGCTCCAAATTAACTTTTGAAAAAAAAATTGCTCCACCTTTGCCTGTTACAGATATCGATTATTATAGCAAAAAATCAAATATTTAATTGAATGAACAAAATAAATTGAATAAAGAAACCAGCATTAGAGCTGAATAATACATAATATAAAGACTAAGTTGAACAAAATATAGTTAGGTACAAACAAAACCTGTCTTATATGAACATATTTTTTGAGTTTTAGACTTTATTAGAAGGGCGTTCTATCAAGATGGCAAAAAATTGATCAAAGGAGATCAAATTGAATCATTTCGTGACTTAATGTTGCATCCTTGATTGAATACCCTTCTACAGACAAACTATATAAATATAAAATTTATAACAAGGCTTGTTTGTCGATAAAATAAACTCGCAAATAAATAATTATTATTTACATATATCTATATACTTATCTGGATTTTTTCAATGCAGTCTTTCTGAGGCTTTTCGTTTGGTCCTGTATCCTTTGTTTTAGTGAGCTTTTCTGTTCTGTTGGCTGCTTTTTGGGTGGTTCCGATTTCGACGAACTACTTTTTGAACCTGAAAAATTGATCCTCAATGAGCAACAGTAGTACATGTAATTTGTGCTTGTGCATGTGTTTTAATGTATTTCTGTGTTCTGTTTTTTTATTTTGACTGTTGTAGTGATTTTTAAGTTCCTAATAAGAGTACCTCAGTATCCTCAAAATAATAATTTTATGAAATTTTACTTATCATCTTATTTTATGTTCAGATTTTAACTGTCTTTTCTTTCCATATTCAACTTTCTTGTTCCAGCTTTGTCAAAGAGGATTATTGATGATATTAAAAGCAGAAATCAAAAAAACGTTATCACAGGGTACTAATTATCTTATTTGTCTTGAAAAAATTTTAGTGAAATATTGACATTTGAAGGGAAACCAAAATTTAACACCACTATATAGCTCTTCAGGAAGGCCCGAGTTACATTGTAGCTACAAAGTATACCCATCGCGAATCCCATGGAACCTGCCGACGCAAGATGTTTTCCATCGCCAGACACGTGGACCAGCTCAGCACAAATTAAAATATAAATGTACCTTAGTTTAAGATAAATATTCATTCCATATTGTTTTGCTCTAGAGATAACTTGTAACTTTTGAAAATAAACTTTTTAAAAACAGACTTTTTTCGATGATCGACCTAATTTGCGTAAAGAATCGGCAACAAACAAACATTTTATTATTGAAAGATGCTATTCTATGAGGTTCACAAAGTCAAAGTAAATATTCTATTATTAGTAGTTCCACTATTATGGCACCTGGCATATATGACTTATATGAGTATGCCTGTATGTGTATAAGTAACATTTTGAAATGATTGAAACATAATTTTGAAGTTGCTAGCATAAATGAAATTTAAACAAAAAATCAAAGTAATCAATATTGAAACTTACCATTCATGGTGGTAACATCCCTGATATTTTCTTTGGCTTCACTCGTATTACTCGAACCAGAAATCCTGCCAGACCTTCTCAAAAGTGCTGTCTCTCCTTGAGTACTCCGAGTCTCCCTTAATACTTGCGATTCAGAATTTTTCTTTGGATCTTCCGATGTTTTAACCACTTTTTTAACAGCGTTATTCAAGGGAATTTTGGCGGTTCTGAACGGATTCAAGACTTTTTCAGTGGTTTTTGGTAATATTTTAGCTGCCACACCCTTATTGATAGGGCTTTGTGATGCAGTTTCAATGGTCTGCCGTTTAAAACTACTGAGTTTTCCTAGAAAAAATCGATAGTTAATAAATAAGCTTCAAAAAAATTAATAAAAATCCTCATACCTGTTATAACTTTTTTGTTTTTCACAACCTTTTTTGTAGTTTTGGCGTTTTCACTTTTCACAATAGATTTCCTATTTGTTTTGTCTGGTTTTTCATTTGTTTTAATTGGTCTCTTATTTGTTTTGACTGGTATTTCATTTGATTTGTCAGGTTTTTCCTTTATTTTTTCTGGTTCCTCTTTTATTTTTGCTGATTGAGGATTGCTTCTTGTAGATCTTCTTGATTCCGGATTGTTTACTTTAGCCAATTTTATTTGACCTTCTTTCTCTTGTATCTTTAATGATTTCGCTAAATTTTTTACAGAAGCCAGTGGATCTATTCTTGTGAGCACAGTTTTCAGCACTTTTTTAAGTTTCTTATTATTTAATTGACTGGAAACTTTATTTTTTGAACTATTTTTGTTGTTGTTAATTATTCGTTGTGCTATGCTGGGTTCGCCATCATCACTTGCTTGATTATTGTTATTGTTGTTATAATTGTATTCACTTTTCACCTTTTCCATCTTTACCCTGTCAGCTTCTGCAGCTAATCTTCTCAATTTTTCTTCGGCCAAAGTACAAGGGGCTGGTTGCCTTTTGGTTTCCTCCTTGAGCGAACTCAGCCTCAAGCTTTTTCTTTGTTGGTCACCCTCAATCTTCAACTTTCTTTTTGGAGCTTTTTTTATATTGACCGACTCAACCTTCACATTTTCCTCTGAAAAACTTTCTTCAATATTACTGCTCGATATTTCATTGATTTGTATAGCAAGATCTTCAGTTTTCACCTCAGTTTTCACACTGCTAGTGCTGGTGTTGTTTTCTTTACCGGCTTCAGATAATCTATGTGGCTCTCTAGAGTCAGAACTGGTACTTTCCAGCTTTACAAAATTTCTTTCTTTAAGAGGATAGTAACTTACTGTACCATGAGACATTGAGTTAATATTGCTTGTATTTTCTGAGGCACAATTTTCTTCTTTTTTATTTTTTTGGGGCTTAGCTTCAGGAGAACTAGTAATAGTTTCATTGAGATCAGAAACATTTTGTTCCTGACGGCTACTACTACAACTTTCTTGGGACAAATAATTATTCCCATCATATCTTGTCATAATTTTAAGGCCACTTTCAGGAAGATTCTTTTTGCGGTCCTTCAATACTTGTGCTCTAGGAGGACCTGGAGGATCAAGCATTAAAGTTACAGCTGACGTATTGTCGGCTCTCATTTTTGTTGCGTTCCATCTGTCTAGTGCTCTTTCGACTAATAGTTTGCTGGGATTCAGCCAGGTTTTATTATGGTCATCACTCATTGCTTCATGTTCATTGTGTTTTTCCACTTGTTGGACTATGTATACTGCATTGGAGGCGCTTAGCATGTTAAATAGACCGTCAGTACCTGGAAGAAATACAACGATTAGAATCGAAATATTTTCCATATGGAAACTTCCAATGCATATAACCAATATACTTTAAAAGTTCACAATGGCTATACTTATCTGAGGAACCAAATGAACTTACCAAAAATTAAACATCTATGTACATTAGGATCAATTTCTACAACTGAGCAGTCTGGATCTGGTGAAACAATAAATTCATTCATCTGTGAGTTATAGGACCACAAATCGCCTAAACTCCTGGCGACAGCTAAAAATGGAATTTCATCTATGAGAGTAGATCTCCTGACAGGGCCTTGATGGCCTACTCTCGGTCTGTTCCAAACCACTCTCGGTACGCCCGATTTGGCAACTACTTTTCCTCCGCAGCTTTCGATTCGTTTGATTTCTTCAGGGCTTTCGGGCTTGTGGTCTTTTGTAAGAGGTTTTGCTTTCCAATCTGCATTACCTGGTTCCTGGTAGCCTAAATAAAAAGTATATTTCAATATATTTATTGTGAAGAGGGCAAAAGGCAATAATACCTAAGACTACTCCGGAGTCTCCAACATGGCCTATATAAATTTTGCCTCTTCTTATGAATGCAACTGAGGCAGTGGTGCCAGCAGTGCTCGGTAGGCCCGAATTGGTTCTTGGCCATTTAGCTGTAATAAAAGGTCAACATTATGAAATAAAGTAACTAACACTGGAAAAATGTTAAAAATTGGTAATTATGCAACAATTTAAATATACCTTCATTATAAAATAAAATAAATAAATAAATATTGTCTTTATTTAACTTCACAAATGCATATATGTACTACCAGATATAAAATTAACAAGTACATAATATACTCATTACGAAGAGCACAATTCGCAAAGTTTGAACTTGTGGCCGTTCCGAGTCTTCTTTAAAAATCCACAGAATAACTTTCACTGAGAATAGCTCCTATTTTATACGTCTAAGATTTTTCTATACATCTTGAAACAATATAAAAAAATAATCAGTTTTAAATCTTTTAAACTTAATATTAAGGCACTCATTATTAGTTTAGAACACTCTTCCGTCGAGGATATCTTGGATGGGTCACTGTACTCTAATATTAAATATTTGAATAATTATGTACATATTATTATTTTATTTAGTATCCAGAGACAATGTAATCTGTGACAAGTGTTGTTCTGTCTCGGTTTTCAGATTATCTGTAAATGTCTAATGCAATTTCAAATAAAGATCATTATTATTATCATTTTGAGACTTGGCTAATTAATTTTTAAAATAATTACATCTCAACACTCCTTAATTATTTCAACTTAAGTATAGATAATTATCAAATACTTTTTGAAGAGATTTGGCTAAGATATCCACTATCCAGTATCAATATCCAATCGATCAGTGCATACATTCAATAAATTTCAAATAATTTTTTTTATCAACATGCTCTTGAATAATAAACTTCTGGCATCTCAATATGCTTTTTGACCATGTATTATAAGTACTCCACTATTTAAGCGTCCTGTATTTGTATTTCCTCCATAGTCAGAATTTGTGTATATGCTTCAAGTTTTGGATCTCCATTACATTATACCTATTCCAGTACAAACAGTCGATTTTAAATATTGTCTGAGAAACTGACCACACGTTTTCCACTTATTTTTGTTTTGTGTCTGGGGTGGTTCAATTTCTTTTCAGTTCAGTGGTTTAAAATATTTGTATACAAATAAAAAGCTCAGTACAGTTAAGTACACACTCTATAATATGAACACTACTTGTATAAGTGAACAACGCGGTTTTGTGAACACAATAATTTGCATATTGGGTACTTTATAACGTGAACAGCAAGCCGCTCGATAATATGAACAATTGGTCAATATTAGGATCCATATTTGTTTTCACTTTATTCATATGACTGATTAACACGAGGGGGTAACAACTGGTGGCAATTCGTGTACAAATCGTATAGCATTCCAACGCATTTCTTGCGCATTACGACGCATTACTGGAATTACAGGCATTACGGTGGCATTATCGGTATTACCAGGAATTACGCTAACATTACAAGGCATTACCTATTAAGGTTTTAATTCACATACAATAATTGTATGTATCTATATGAGGCATGAATCGAGCATGTATTAGTCTATTAACCCTCAAATTTTCCAAACATCCACTGGAAGATCATATTCATATTACTTACCTCAATATTTAAAATAATTTTGGGAAAGTTTGTGTATCTATAAAATTAAAATTATTTTCACATACAGGGTGAATTTAAAAAAAAAGGTTACAGTAAAATATGTATTTGTTTTAAACGGGACACCCTATATATTATTATCATTTTTGGATTCTACTCAATATGCTTTATCTAAATTCGACTGTTTTCAAGCTAGAAACAATTGAAAATTATTTGTTCGGGTTCGAAAAAAGGATGGTTCTAGAATGGTTCAAAACAATCGCACACACTATTATTGAAATTTGTGATAGCCTTTGTCATTTTGTTGATTGATAGACTGTGCGATTGTTTTGGAACCGTCCTTTTTTCGAACCCAAACAAAGCTTATTATCTAGAAACTTCATATAGCCTCACGACAATGGTGTACAATCTGTAGACAAGGCTTACATTTTTTGTGGACCAATAAAATCATTGGATCAGAACCATTTCAACTCTTGAGACAGGATAAATCGAGAGATAAATTATCCATTGTAAAACTCTACTAAAATGGAAGACAATATGTATTCAACAAGTTGAAACGGTTTTTGCTCGGGTTTTTGTAAAATAGATTACGAGAAAAATTTAGCATTTTATTCAGATTTAGAACTGGTTTATTTACCTTCTGATAAACTGTCTGGTAGACAATCTGACGGAAAAAAACGTAGTCTGTAATCCTATTGTTCGGCCAGTTATCGGCTGACCAATAGAAATATAGAACAGTAAATTTGTCTTGCAGATAGTTACCCGCAAGTTTATCTGAAGATGAATAACCAAAGCGTTAGAAAAATAACTATCCATAGAATAATAATAAATATGTACAAATTATAGGATGTGATGTTTGTCAAATACAAAAGTTTCAAGGAATTAAGTCAGTTTCAAGCATACAGGGTGCGTCAAAAATGTGCAAAAGTGTGAAGTTATATTTTTTCAAATGGAGCACCCTGTATATTGTGCGCTTATTTGTTAGTCTCTTTTACCCTGATTTCAACCATACAGTTTTATATGTCTATCTTCAATAGTTGAAGAGAAAAATATGAAAACCCCTTTCAAGGTTTCATATTGAAAAAAGAAAAATTATACCCTTGTAAGCTCTAGAGAATTTTTATTATAAACAGTTTATTGTTCAAATTTTTTTAATTTAATAAACAAGGTGAAATATTAGAATAAATCCAGATGTCCTATTATTATTATTATTAAAAAAAAAAGAAAAAACATGTGAGTCCTAGGAAGGGATTTTCCCATTTTTCCCTATACCTATGGGAGATAAACCAAGAGATAAACATATCAAACCGTATATCGTTGAAATCAGGTCAATCAAATCAAATAAGCGCACAATATACAGGGTGTTCCATTTAAAAAAATATAGCTTCACACTACTGCACTATTTTGACGCACCCTGTATGCCTAAAACTGACTTATTTAAAAACTTTCGACAATTTCTTCAAACTTTTGTCAAAAACGTCAAATGAAAAAGTTAGCAGAGGGTGACATTTATAATAGATCACCCTGTACAAATTTTGGTCCAGTTGTCACCCCTTCGCATTAACATAAAAATCAAAAAAGTAAAATGCATAATCAAAACCATTGGGCACATGAATTTGAATGTAGATTACCGGAAAAAAACATACTATACATAAACAAACAAAAGAATAAAAAAGAATATACAATTGATAAACAAAATCACAGCGGGTCATTCATAAAAATCTTGAAGGCTGTAAAATACCTTAGCAAGTAAATATCTCTTTAGTTGAACTGGAAAACCCCTATATCCTCTTTTTTTTAATTCCTTTATAAATTACAGAGTGCTCTATTAACTGTGATCTTGGGATTGGCAAAGGCAATGTGTGGTTTCTAAAATTGTAACGATCTACTCGGGAAAATTCATGAAACTTCTTAAATATCAAAGATGCCACCTTTAGTATATGTCTTTATACAATTGGCCTTGTTCATTATTGTCATATTTTTCATCGATTTGCTCCGAAATTTTGACAGGCACGTGACTGAATTAGACAGTTTCAATCAATGAACGTTTCAATTTACAAATCATGTGCCTGTCAAAGTTTCGAAGCAAATCGACGAAAAAGATGTCAAAAACGAACACGGATAATTGAACTATCCAAGATGCTGTCAAACTTGAATTAAAATGGCCGCCAAGAGGCACACAAACCCTTTTTTAATGTGTCATTCAATGTGTCATGAAATTTTTTTCAAAAAAATAGTGCTCATTGTTCATTTGCGTTTTGATATTCGTTGTTTTTACTCGTATTTTTATTAATGTTAGAAATAGAACAGATCCCTAGGGCACTCCTGCAGTGATATCCAACCCCTCTGAAGTACTGAACCCCTAGGAGCAGTACTTCATGACAGACACAATCGAAAGCTTTTTTCAGGTCACAAAAAACAACCGCGGCCACTTCTTCGTCATTTATCTTCTAATACAGCTCATCCAGGAGATGAAATATGGTATCATCAGTGTTTTTTGACTGCTGAAACAGAGACAGAGAAAGCAATTTATCTCTATCAAGGAAGCTCACCATCCACCTTAATTAGCCACTCTACAATTTTAGTCAAAGTTGGCAGTAAGGATATTGGCCGGTAATAAGATGGTAAATTCTTATCACCCCCCTATTAAACAAAGGTACTACCCAAGATTGCTTCAAAAATGAGGGAAATCTTCCGGTGAGAAAAGAATTAATAATAGAATCCACCAACACATCAACAGCCTAACTGAGATATCGTCCCATCCAGAAGATTTTCTATTTTTGATACTCAGTTTCTGAGCAACCGTACAGTAGTATGAATTAATATTATCTGCTTTCAAATTGGAAGCACAATATGTATATTTCTTATTTTTTTTTTGGCGGTCGTTCTTTTTTTTGTTTATTGGATGCCGATGCCCAACCTCTCATTGTAATAAATCTTCCTTGCCTGTTTCATCCTCTTTCTGTAGATGCTCCTGTATCCATTATTTTAAGTAGGTCATAAAAAATATAATTATCAATATCAAGAGCAAACTTTCTTAAGGAATGAAGACACCTAAATTTTCTAGAAGCAATTCTTAAACCTTTTAGGATACAAGCTTTTTCTTTTTCGATTTTAACTTGACTAACATACATGCATGGTTAAAAATCGTTCTTCAATCAAATCTAGAGCAAACTTGTGAAAAAAACAATACAAATCAAAGCACAACACTGGACGGTGGCGTTGCAACAAATAAATATTTTCACATTTTGAGGGTAGGTCCTGCATGTCCAAGTGAAATGTAGGTAGAGCAATCTTGCCCAAACAATAGGGATTCCGTAATTGGGTAGAAACGGCCAAAAATTGAGACGCACACAATAGAAAATGAGTATTTGATTCGAGATTTGATTATGATCATTAATGACATAACCTAATGACGTTATGGTTTGTGTTTGTGTCAAATGTTTGGGTGCCTCTTGTCGGCCATATTT